AGCTGTCCCAAATCCTTCACTGAAACCCTTTGTCTAAAATTGGCTTCAGTTGAGCAATTTCTCCTTCATCATCATCAGTAACAATCATATCATCCACGTACACAACAATAATGGTAATGTGACCACCATGTCGTCGAATGAACAATGTATGTCGATATTGATCTGTTGATAACTCATGTTTACCATTGCTTTTCTGAACCTATCAAACTAAGCTTGAGGAGATTGTTTTAAACTGTACAGTGACTTTCTCAGTCTATTTACCTTGCCCACTATTTTGTTTGTGTCGATGCCTTGGGGTAATTCCATGTACACCTCCTCTAATAGATCCCCATGAAGAAACACATTTTTCATATTCAGTTGGTATAACCTCCATCCACCATTCACAGCTAGAGATACGAGTGTCCTGATTGTGCTCATCTTTGTCACTGGTGCAAATATCTCAAAATAGTCGATGTCATACGTTTGACTATACCCTTTCGCTATCAACCATTTTTTGTAGCAATCAATCTTTCCTTCAAAGGTCTGCTTCATCGTGAAGACCCATTTGCACCCGACTTCCTTTTTCCCTGCTGGTAGCATTGCGAGCTCCCATGCCCTGTTTCTATCGACAGCACCAAGTTCCTCCAACATGACAACCTTTTACTTTGGATTTTCCTTAGCTATCTGCCAACACTTGGGAATAGAGACAGTGTTCAAAAATGTAATGAATGCTTTGTGTAAAGGTGACATGTTAGAATGTGAGACAAATTGAGCAATGTCATGTGAGAAGCCTAAACAATAAGGAGAATAACGATTAGGAGGATGACCCGTATTATTGCAAGAGGTTTTCTTTAAAGTCATGAGAGTGGGAGAAGAAGGGAGAAGAATCATATCACCTGATAATCGAATTCTGAGGTGTCTGGTGTAGGTGTCTCAGAGGTCAGGTAGATCGGGATAAGGGATTTGTTGGCATGAGTGACACGACAAACACTATGTCGTCATTGTTTCTCCTTGTATATACCCTCATCTTCACTTAAGCTTGAATTCCATTACCTTTGGGCTAATTTTCTTCATTTTTTGACTCTTTCTCATTCGATCTTTCCCACACAATGGGACAAGACATCGTTCCCATGAGTACCAATCTCTCTCCAACACTACTCTTCCCTTCTCGTCTCATACCTTTAGTATCTGGTGAGTCACCAAAGGTTGAGGTCATATGTAATGTGTAGTACGATTCAAATTCTCTAAATGTCATATCCATACTCAAAAAAATATTTTCTCTATTGGGCTCAACAAACATACCCCTTCTAAGTGGCAGAATAACTCACGAAAATACACTTTATAGCTCTGGGATCCAGCTTCTCTATTAATGCTTTATTATCTTACACAAAACATATACAATTAAATACCTTCAATGGAATGATTCCGCCATTATCTCCTTCAACAACTCACAAGGAGATTGCCACTCTAACAATTTTGAGGGTATTCCGTTGATTAATTGAGCGGCTGTTAAAACATCTTGCCCTCACAAATGCTTTGAGACATTCATCGAGACCATTATGCTTCAGGCTATCTCTAGAAGGCGTCGATTCTTTCTCTCTGCTACTGTGTTTTGTGCCGCTATATATGGACATGCTTTTTGATGCTGTATCTCTTGGGCTGACAAGTACTCCCCAAACGTCTTGTTCGCATACTCTATCTCATTGTCATATCTCAATACTTTCACTACTACATTGTATTGAGTATGAGTTGACCTATGAAAGCCTTTAAAGCAGATGAACATATTATTTTTGTTTCTCATCGGATATAACCAAGTAACATGAGAAAAAAATCAATGAAAGTCAAAACATCTTTAACCATTTATCGAAGTTGTAGAACAATGTCTCTTGCATATGAATGCACCAAATTAAAAATACAAGAACTCCTATTACCATAATTAATATAAGAGCTCTTGGCCTGCTTACCAAACTCATAAGCATCACACACAAGTTTTTGTTATTTATTTATTTATTTATACAAAGATGGATACAAACGACTCAATAGACTAAATGAAGAGTGTCTCGTGCTCTTGTGATGTAGTAGCAACACTCCTAGATCCTCCTACTTCGACACTCTTTACGATGGATGTCAAGGCTGAGTCCATCCCCTCTTTATCCAAGTACCAGAGTCCACTATGTCACTGTTAGTCTAAAATCTCCGGCCATTCTTCTTCTCTTGAAAGGTCACCTTAGGAATATCAAATGAGACAACACATTTTAGTTGGAGTATAATGACTTTAATGGAAAAGAGTTTCACTTATTCAAATTATTGAATATAATCAAAACCATATTCTACCATCAACAGTCTAAATGCTCTCTATATCTACTAGTTAAGTATTAGAGGAGAACTCACTAGGGGCATCTGTCATATGTCGAGATGCACCATAATCTATTTATCCATTCTGGTGATCTTGTGTTGGATATAGAGGCAAGAGCATTTGTATCACGAGTTCCTTTAACTGAGTGAGCCTTAGTAGCATTGTTCCCTTTTGATGACGATAAGGTGGATGCATCATCAGTCACATCTTCTGTTGCTCTTTGATTTCTCTTCAATATCTCCAGGAACTTGTGATCCTTATCGGTAAAGACCAACCCTGTCTCTCCCTCTTTTTTCCTTTGCTCGGTAGCCCCAACTTCCTTCCCTTTGGCCCTCATGATTATGACCACGACCGCTAAACTGCTTATGTCCACCCGTCTCTCTCTCCTTGGATGGCTTTGGGCAAGCCTTGCTCTTGTGTCCCATTTCATCACAATTGTAACACCTGCGGGTCTCCCCCTACGCACATGTCATACTTAAGCTCAAGGCTGCCAAAGCTAATCGCATACCTGGAAGTTCACTCAGCTCAAAGTGTAGTCTCATGTGACTCCTCCTTTATCATCGTGGTGATGGTCTCATCCAGTGAATGAATCATTACTTGGGCTAAGAGGATTGAAGGTCAGGTTTAAATAAGCCAAAAATTGCATGGTCCTCATATGTGCAAAGATTTCCCCCTTTTTACACCCTGGATCACCAAAACGGCATAGCTAAGAAGTGATCAAGATCTTGCCACAACCTCTCCAACTCTGAGGAGTACTTTTGAATCTATCTATCATCGTGTACCACTATCTCTATGTCACGTCTATGTCACGTTGAATCTGGAACACATGTTGTTCTCAATCCTAACATAGATTCTTCAGATGTCCTTTACCTTTCGAATGTCATCCACTGATGTGGCAATAAATGAAACCATCGTGTTGCGAAACCAGGTGTAAAGTAAGGCGTGTGTGGTCCTCCACTCATCCCTTTAAGCACCTTCACCCTTTTGCTCAGCCTTAACTCCCGTCAGATATCCCTCTAGTCTCTTCTCTACTATATCAGCTTCGATATGACACGACCAACTCATATATGTGATCAGTCCATCAAACTTTAGATCCATAGGAGGGAGATTGAGATTCACTTGAGTTGGAGCACGTGCTAATATTGTGGCTCTCGTTGAGACGCTATCTACTTGTATGAGCTCGACCAAGACCTTTAGAACTTTAGGACCTATCTTCCCTAGAAGCTCCAAGTATTTACTTCTCGCACTAACTTCGTCGCTTGACATCCTCAATCACAAGGATCAAAGTCTAGATCATATGTGACTTCCTTCCTCTTGCTGGCGCGATCTCAATCGATCTTATCATCAAGATCAAATTCAATTTAACTCTTCTTTGCTTTGTGCCCGATCCGAAGCCCTCATCAGTTTTCATTCCATGTGAAGCTCCCCTGTTCTGTCCCTCACATGATATAGAGAATTCGAAATTTTTTCCTTTTTCCCAGCTGCAACCCGATAACTGAAGGCTTTGCCCACTCCCTTTTCCTACCCACACAGGAGTCTGCATTTACCCTCTGCTTCGTAGCAAACGAAGGGTCGTTGTGTATAAAGACCTTCAAAACTCCCGGTTCTCCCCTTCTCTATGTGCCAAAGTAGTAACCACAAGAACACAAACCCGTTTCCTCTTCATTTGTGCGGCAAGAACAACAAATAAGGGATTGCAACACACCGAGACCTTCAAAACTCCAATCTTACTGTCCTATTACATTTTGGAAATGTAATGACGGGATCGCTGCGCTTGCTGAAAAGCAACGATGGGATCACTACGCTTGCTGGAAAACAATGACGGGGCCGCACAACACAAAGACCCTGGATTTCCCTTCTTTTGCTCCTTAGGCATTCAGGCAAAGCAAAGGCGGAATCGCTCCATATGAAGATCTTCAGAAGCACCTCTCATCTCCCTGCGTACGAAGCCTAAACCTCCTGTTACTTGCTTCTTTCCTTTGCAGTGCTGGTGCTACGTCTCTGATAATAAATTGAAATAATTGTTTCAAAAGAAACTTTCTTCATTCATTAAAGATTTGGGCTAATATTGAGCATTGCAACTTTTTTCACAAATAAATTCCTAGACTTCTTCTATATTTTCTATCTACAAATAGCACCCTAAACTATATATAATTCTCAATAAGAAGAATAATAAAAGACTAAACATCAACATAAGAGAGTTGTAATGGACGAATCCAAGAACTTGAGTGAAAGGGACAGAAGTTTATATGATTCATTTCAATGTGATTGACTCCCCTAAATCCATAATCACATAAATAAAATATTCAACTATAGTAGAGATTGCTTATTGGTTAATTCTAAATCTTTTAAATACTGGGAGATGAATAATAAAGTACTAAATATCAAGAGTTGTAATAATAGCTGATGTCAAGACCTCGAGTATTATTCTCAGTTGTCATTAGGGAGGTTTGGACTTAAAAACATGAAATGGGCAAAAGTTTCTATGATTCATATCAGTGAGACCGACTCACACAAATAAAATATTCAACTATATTAGATGGGCATATTGGATATTTTTATATCTTTTAAATATTGTGAGAAAGAATAAATGACTAAACATCAAAATAAGTGAGTTGTAATAGATGAAGCCAAAACATTGAGTAGTATTCTCAATTGTCTGCAGGAGGATATTTTCTGCAACAACCGAATTTGACTCCAAAGCATTTCAGGTCATATTGCTTTTTTATTTTCATTTCATAATTTGTTTTGTTTATGTTCTAGCATGAAATAAAAACAGATTTTATATTTATTATTTATTTATTTTTATGTTTGTCCTCTGCTTCTCATGAGGAGAGCAAGTAACATACCATTTATTTAATTGGAAAATGTCTATACGCTGATTTCTATAAAATATGAGCGGAAAAGATTTAATATCATAAAAATGTACTACCAAATAAACCATCAACGCTAAGTAACAATCAATTAATTCTAAAAAACCCTTTCTACAAACATTCAAGTTCCTTTTGCCAAGGAAAATTAAGAAATTCAAGTTTTTCTAAAGACAAAAACAAAGTGCGTCAACAAAATGTCAAATTACTTGGTCAATCCCCCTTTGGTCTTGTATTTTGTATGAGCTTATGAGGTGAAAATTCAAAACTAAATTAAACTTAAAGTTGAAATTAATCCATAGTAAAATAATTAGTTATTAATTTCTGAACTTGTTTTTTATCCTAGAAAATTATTCAAATAATTATGAGTTTATCTATTGAACCAACACTTTATTTTGTCTGTTTACATTGTTGTTAATAAATCTGAGCTTCACCAATTAACAGGCGCGGGTGGCGAGAAAAAATGGTGTAAAGTAGCTTTTATTTGAAAGCTTTTCCGAATATTTTTTTCTTTATGCTTAATGAATTCAATTACACTTTGTTGTTTGACATATCAGATGCAAAAGATGAACCTTCTTTTCACCTGGTCAGAATTCTAGTTCTGAAATTTGATGTTATTACTTTCTGCAGTCAAACGTTCGTAAAGAAGAAACTAGGAAACCTATTCCACCATGTGTGGTTTGCAGGGGAAGTGGAAGAGTTAACTGTCGCCACTGTCAAGGAAGAGGTTTTATTCCCTTCTTTTGCTGCCATATTTACATCTAAATTAATTTACATTTAAATTAATCTTTTGCAATAAACGGTAAGCAACGATTCTTCTTCTGAAATTTTTTGCAGGAAGGACCAACCTTGTAAACCTCATCATGCTTCCGAAAGGAGAATGGCCAAGATGGTAAGGACCAGTGGCTCTAGTTTTTAAAATATTTCTTGGATTCGATCAAGGAAATATATTCTGAAAACCCTCGTCCACTTAAAATTCAAATCCCAGTCATTTAGGGCTTTATTTTTTATATTTTGGTACGTGCAAGTTTCCAGCTTGATCTTCACATAATAAGCCAATTTCCTACGATAGCATTGATCTAGAAATATATCAACTAGAAGAATTTGGGCAATTGTACATGACTAGCGTTGAATTATTAAAATGATGTGCTTGCTTTAAGTTCTTGTTTAAAAGGAATATTAAGGGGATTGGCAGGTGCAAAGTTTGTGGTGGAAGTGGACTTGACCATTGCAACCGATGCCTTGGGACGGGGGAATACAGAGACATCATGGGATTTCATTTCATGAAAATGGACACCAACTCAATGCAGCGTTAAATAGAAAAATGTAAGATTTCTGATATATATATATATATATATATATATATTTATTTATTATAACAAGTTCATTATGCTAAGCTTAATATGACTTTATCTTGTGTATGTAACCTGTTCAAATAATAAATTAGGATTTATCCTTATCATGTTCAGTGTTACAATCAATGTGCTAAGCTAAAGATTACACACTATAGGGTCATGAGATGTATATATTTTCATATAAAGTAGGAGCTACATATCTCTATATTCTGATAGCATATCGAAAGAGTTATGTGGTGGGGATTTATTAAAATTTGGTGTTGGTTCTATTATGTAAAGTTTAATGGAGTTATTGGCGATGGAGTTGTGCTATAGTGGTCAGCCCAGGCTTGAAATCTGGCTTTGGTTAAGGGATATATTGGAAGAAGGATTAGGATAGGGAGAACACATAAATAAAAGATGGGGATGTAACCATATGTGCTTGTAGCATCTCCAAATAACTACAAGTAATTACAAATAAAATTGAAGTTCTTATCAAAGTATTCAAAGTTTTTGAAGAGCTTACCTAAAGAATTAAAAAGGAAGAAAATAGCCAAACTTTCTTTCAAGATATTCGAAATAAATGCACATTGTTTTAATTACTTTACTGAATACATCTTATGGTCACATAACACTTATTTATAGAGTTTTGAAAACACAAAATTTAAACTAATCCTAGATTGGTTGACCATAGGCCATAGCTAGATATGGACATCTTTTAACCAGTAATGTTTGCATAGATTCCAACATTAGAGTGTTACACAATGAACAAAAGGGAACGTGGTCATATAAAATAATTTAAAAATTAAATCTAAAACTATTAAGCGTATGAACATGGTTTCTAAGATAGGGGAGTGGCCAATAATGTATTACATGTGCATACAAAATTAATGGAGGGTCAATTAAAACTTGTATGAAAGGTGGAGTAGTTTTTCAATCAAGCATATGTTACATTCTTTGATGAGAGGAGTTGGCTATATGCTTGTGAATTGTGATTAGAGCTTGTCATGAGTGATCCTAATAATCACATATTTGCATCTTTGAGGAGGCGGAGTGACCATGTAAGTAGGGGGTGATGATACGACCACCCTCTTTTTTGTCCATATGCTTAAAACTTGATATAGTTATAATTGAACTTCCCAGTTATGCTGGATATTTGATTCTTGTACATTATGACTTTCGAATTTTTTTCATGATTTCCTATTCTCATCACAAGTTCTCTGTAAGTTCTTGAAATCATTCTTAAATACTCGGCTTCTAAGTACAAGCAGGAACTCTACCGATTTTCTCTATCCCTATGAACCATGTCAATTATCTATAATGAAACAGATTTTATATGCCTCATAATACCTTCCATTCTATGAAAAAGTGTACAGCCTTCTTACGACACTTATAACAATGAATCATATAGCTAATTGAGGTATTTGTCTTATCCTAATAGTGATTACCTATTTAAGAATTGACTTTATTATACATTTGATTACCTTATTTGATATACGATTAGTCTTCTCATAGGCACCCAATAAGTAAATCATATTTTATTCATTAGATAATCATGTATCATATGGGATTTAATATTCAATATTTTAAGCCATCTATTCAACTTTGACTATGACAAATGCCCGTAGCTATAATATAATATCCATAAGACAGCTAATATAAATTCAAATTTAATGTACTCTAACATATATGTAAATACTTCCATTTTGAAGAGCTATGATGTAAGGAATGTAATGTATATTTGAAGGACCTATGGATCTACACACTCACAGTCCCTCTAAAATTATATATGATCAAGTAAAAATATATGTAAATACTTACATTTTAAAGAGCTTTGATGTATGGAATGTAATGTATATTTGAAGGATCTATGAATCTAAACAGTCACAGTCCCTCTAAAATTATATATGATCAAGTAAAATGGAGATGATTTCTCTTTATAATCAGATATTTGATATATTATATTGCATACATTCCATAATCTATGTTGCAAGGTATAAAAACTCATTAAATCATATACAAGAGTCGTCTAAGCTACCTAAGTTTTTACTAAATTTTGAAATAATTTATTTTGCAACAATATAGAAAACTTCATTTGTGGTAGCTCTCCTCCAAATAGCGAGATTTTGTAGAGAATAATTCGTGTTTGTTGTTAAATAATAATAATTGTTCAAGTAACGTAAATAAGCACTTATAAAAGAAAATTATTGTTGTCTGCATGGAATGCCTTGAGATGTAATACAGGTCACAAACATACAATTTTTTGACCTTTATAGTTTGGTAGATCTCAAGGGACCGACTTTAAGCCTATATCTTTTTGCTTTAGTTATGGATGCTCTTACTGGACATTTACATGAGGATATACCTTGGTGTATGCTTTTGGTTGATGATATCCTTCTTGTGGATAAGACTCGAGAAATATTTCAGGAAAAAAAACTTGAATTATGGCGGTCTACATTGGAGTCTAAACGCCTTCATTTGAGTAGAACTAAAATTGAATACATGAAATGTAATTTTAGTATTAGTATCTCTAGTGGCAGTGTTGGAACTATGAGCAATCAAATCATTAAAAGGTGTGAACTTTTAAATATTTCAAGTCTATTGCTCAAGTGATGGAGATATAGATGGGAATGTTATTAGTAGAATTCAAGTTGGTTGGTCGAAGTGGAGGAATGCTTTGGGCCTATTGTGTGATAGAACTATTGTGTGATACCTATTGTGTGATAGAAAAGTTCCGCTTAAACTGAACTGAAAATTTTATAAGATGTTAGTGAGAACTGCAATGCTCTATAATGCATAATGTTGGCCTTTAAAAGAGAAGCATAAAATAAAGTTAATTGTTGCTGAGATGAGAATGCTTAGATGGATGTGTGGCTTGACACTTGCTTGACACTTAGAGACAAAACTTAGAGACAAAATGCGAAATAAATATTTCTGTGATAGGGTTGTTGTAGCTCCGGTGGAAAACAAGATTAGAGAGTCGTCTTAAATAGTTTGGTCAAGTTAAACGTCGACCATCAGATGATATGGTTAGGAGAGTAGATGTTTAGCTCTGGCTAATGTTAAGAAAGACTTGGACATATTGTATGAGAAATGTTCTTAATCTATTAGAACTAAATAAAAATGACACTCAGTAGGACGCAATGGAGAAAAATTAGTCATTTAGCCAACCCAATTTAGTGGGATAAAGGCTTGTTGTTGTTGTTGTTGTATAGATTGGAAGATCTCACATATTATCTAAATTTTTTTTTTCCAATTCATTGAAAAATAAAGGAGTTCAAAAGCTTGTTCCTCTCTCTAACGACATGCATGAAAGTATCTTCTCACTAATAAGTATTTCCCTTTTTCTTTTAATTATACATGGAGATCATTGTTTTGCATCTCTGATCAAACAATTCATCTAACATAACAGTTTATGATCCATGAATCATTGGGTGAGTATACACTTGAGATTGAGCATTAAGATACATTAAACCCTATTGTAATACATTTATCATCATAATGTTGACAACTAACATTACATATATGGATTTTCACTATGGTTGATTTGCTCAACATATTATGTAAAGTTATTTCTTGTTTTCTTAGAAGCTAATATTCAGGCACTCAGTTCTCCATTCATGTTTATAATCTCAACCATATGCTCATACATGGAGCCATTCATACCATCTCATTCATAGTATAAGTATAATAAAAAGAGTTCATATTTGTGCCATGTTAAAAATTTGTTTGTTAAATCCTATTCTATCAGTGAATTGCACTCAAGGAATATAGTGTGAGACGAGAGAGAGAGAGAGAGAGAGAGAGAGAGAGAGAGAGAGAGAGAGAGAGAGAGAGGTGTACAATAATGAACAGTAATATGAATTATTAATTAGCTCCTGAGGAAATGATCCTTCTATTTATTGAGAAGAAGGGTATAATTTATGAAGTTATATATTTGAACCTGCTTTAATGATGACATTGTATGATATTTTGGATATTTTACAAGTACTGGCCTTCAGTGTGGGTTCCTTATGACTCGATCGACTAAGATCAGTTGTCATTGGCTCAGTTAAGACCAGTTTGTCCGTTTGTGCTTAATCGAGATTGTCGGTTGGCCTTTGATGGTCTTCAAGTTTGCCGAACTTGGCTAGACCAGCTTTGGTTTAAGGATCTGTTATGATCAGCTAACTATTAACTTTTGTCCTTGGATGAGGAATTTCTTTCAACAGAGTAAGGTTACGCTATCAGACAGAGATTAAATCATTATGATCTGATAGGTAGCTCACTCCTAGATAAGGGGATCCTTCGAGATGCTCCGTTGAGTGTGTTATGACCAGTTCTCAGACCCTTATAAGAAATCTCAAGAATATCTATGAGATGGGAGGCGACGAGGAATTCTTCCTTTAAGTCGAGATGTGGTGAGAGGCAAGTCGATGCCTCTACTCGTCTTGATTGGCATTGGCCATTGGTTTGAATGACCTGCATTCGGTTTAGGAGGGTTGTACTTAGTAAAGTAGGTCCTTTGGTATTTCGCTATTGGATCCTTGGACTTTGCCTATGGGGCCCACCTTAGTTGTACTTATTTGTCTTTTTATCCATTGGATCTCCTCGAGAATCATGCAAATGTGTTTCTGATATACATTAAATCTTTTAAATGATATAATACTTATTTATTGTGATATGTTATTTATTTAATTTTATTTTCTTATTGATTTAGTCTTCTTTATAAAAATAATTGTGTTAACCACAGCTGTAATAATTAGAATGTACTCACTTGTATATATATGACTAGACTCTATTAGAATTTTATGCGACTATTATTTGAACTTGTTCAAATCTGATTAAAATTCTATTTAAATTTCATTTAAGCATAGTATAAACTTGGTCAAATCATCTATTTAAAATACATTTAAACATAGTTTAAACTTGGTCAAATCATTTTTAATTTTTTTAAACTCTACTCTTACTATTTGAATACTTGAACCTAATTCATTGGTTGCTTTTGTTCGAACCTTATATTTTATTTGAACAATATTTAAATAATCCTCAAAACATACTTGAATTTTATTTAACTATGCTCTTATAGCATTTGAATCATATTTGAATATAATTTGAACTCACTAAAATCATATTCGAATTTTTTTCTGAACCTACTTGAATTTTATTTGAGCCATCATCGAGTAAGATTCAATTAAAATTCAAATTTAAAATCTGTTATATATATAATATATATATATAGAAAATAACATCGGTAATTTTTTGATATGTTGTATAAATATAAATATGCAAAAATCATATAATATGACAGCATCTAAAATAAAATAATAAAAAAATTGTCCTTTACTGAAAAGACGCGCAGAACAGCGTCCCGAATGGTTCCTTCTAAAACTAAAACCCGAAAAACCTAATCTTGAAAGCCAGAGCCCGTTGACGATGAAGGCGACCCTAGAACTTGTTTTGCTGGTCATCTCTTTATCTCTACCGGCGGCATTTGCCCAAGGGCCGCCACCACCAAAGTGGAAATGGCCTTCTCCCGGTGTTCTGCCTTCTCCCATACTTCGCGATCCAGAACTCAGGGAGTGTTGGAATCCTCTCCGAAAACCGCCGGGATGCATGCCATCCATTTACGATTCGTCGGAGAAGGGGATGGTGTCGCTGAGCACAGAGTGCTGCGACGCTGTGAAGGCTCTCAGCCCCCGCTGCTTCGAGAGAATATTCACTGCCCAGCCTTTCCAGCCGGAGTTTTCTCAGAAAGTTCGCGACTTTTGTGCTTCCGTCCAGGGGACTTCTCCCGCTTCCGCGCCATCTTTCTAGGTTAATGAGTTTCCTTTTGTTGTAGTGTGTGCTTGCTTTGAATTTTGGAAACTATGCCTTAGGTAAAGCTGAGCTGCTGTTGAACGTTAACGTTAGTGAATTGGATGTGTTGCTGCAGAAAAAAAAGTAGTGGAATGAGGCATTTGAGCTTTCACGTAGCTGACTAAAGTCATTAAATCTTGACGAATCCTTTGGTTCTAACTTTCGGAATGAAGTGGGGAAGAAAACCCACTTCATAAAATTTGAAAAAAAAAAACCCTTTTTAGTTGATACTTTTTTTTCCATTTTATTTAAAATCTAGGGACAATTACATACATAGCGGCCGAAACATTGCTATTTACAAATCTGGCACCTTCTTTCATCATTTTTCAAATTCTCACTTAAACATTAAAATTTATGATAAAATCCCAACCCATTTTTTTCTTTTTTATCAAATTCTTAATGATTTGATCATGACACGCGTAAATAAATTAATTTGGTGGTTCAAAAATATCATCTGCATGCTATATTTTGTAAATAGCAATGTATCGAGTGTTATGCATTTAATTATCCCAAAAATCTATAGGATTTAAAGTAGTATTTTTTTTTTTGTTTGGCAAGGTTCAATTTAAAACAGGCTAATTGAGCACCTGTTTTTTTTATTATGAATGGTTTTGAGATATTTTCTTTGCATGAAGATTTGTGCTTAATCAGCATTAGTTTTCTGGAAATCAAGTAACCCGTTAAACTTAGTTTTGAAGCATTTACTTATATTAACTCAGTATTATGTGTAAAAATACATTCTGGTTTTAAACCCGTATAAATTAAAAGATTGGTTTAAAAAAAAATGAAGAAGCTGCTTATAGATTGAAAGATCCGGCAAAAGAAGGTTTAGCTCAATAATTCATTGATTCGTAAATGTTTCTAGTTTGTTTTTTTAAAGTCTTTTATAGAGATTCAATGACATTATGTTTTGTTTATCTCTGTAGTTCTAGGTTGCAATGTAGGCTGTCATGTGATTGCTAAGATTAAATCTTTAGTTGTCATACTGAATTTTCAATCTTACTATTTTTCTTCTCTTCCGTGAGTTATAATTTGTCATTCTTAGATTAATAAGAATTTCCAGTTTTCTGTTTTTTGTAGGGTATTTGGCTAATCTTAAATGCTTTAAAAACATACTTGTCCAATGCCAATAACTCGCTAGCCTAGTTTGATGTGGATTTCCCTTTTGATAGAAGTCCCTTTAAAACCCACATATCAAGATGCGCCATTATAAAGTTACAATCCACAAATTAATATTGGTGTTTGAATACAAAATTTTTGTTGCGACTGACATAGGGGAGAAGCAGCGACAAATGAGCGAATCGAAAGATAACCAGAACATCGATCCGAAAGGGATGGCGTCATTGCACTAAGCAACAGAGCCTAAACACTCCCTCAAATGAATCCTAAATCTGTTTGATTACTTTTATTATGCTTGAAGATAGTATGCTGAACTTAGTTCATCTGAAAGAATGATGTTTAATTTCCCATTTCTTTCCTTTGTCACTGTGGTCCTTTGGGAAGAATTCTCTTTTACCTAATAGGTCTTCCTATTTTTATATTCTAGGTCTGATCTTCAACATCTTCTTGATAAGTTAATTCTTTGGATTGTAGACTGGTAACATAAATTTGTAAATAATTTGAGTTAGTTTGAAATCAATTTATATTTTTAAATTTTTATAAGTTATAAAAAAAAATAAAAGCATGTTTGTTTACTTGTTTTTAATTTTTTAAGGCGGTGTTTGATTACAACCTGAATTTATGTTAAATAGACTTTATTAAATCAGTCAATCTCATTCTCGAGCGATGGTGGAGGAAATTTTTAAATTCGCTTCACAATCTGATTCAGTAAATTCTTATTTACATTGTAAAAGAGGAACACAAGAAGAAAAGTCGGAATGTGAAAAAATTCGATTTAAGGGAGCATTGGATTTAGTTTTCATTTTTTTTTAATGTTTGGCTAGATTTAGGCTAAATCCATGGCTAAATCCTATTAAAACTATGCTACCAAACACCACATAAGGGGGATTTACATACAAACACTCAAAACTATTATATTCTCATATTTTACACCTAAAGTTTTATGGAGCATTTACCTACATACCACACAATTCTTATGTATTTACATATCTTGTTTGGTATTTATGTAAGTTTCCCTATTTCTTTTAGTCCGCATCTCTAACCATCCCGGATGTTGCTTTAAGTTCCACTTAAGCCTAGCTTTTCTATTTTCCCCTTTGGCTGTCGCGACACCGACATTGGATCATGAATGAGACTCCAAAAGTTTGGCAGCCATGGGGTCATTAGGAGCAGAGCAGTTGGCTTCCTGATGCATTAAGTGGGCCATTCATGATCAATTAGGGTTGTGCGCGGATAGTGGCCTTACCTAGAGGTGGCTAATGTCAATTCTATTTGAATAAAAAGTGGTTTGATTATAAGATAAGTAGTTAATGGGTTCCTTTTAAGTTTATTATGTCCAGATTAACTCTATAATCATCCCATGGTCATGTCCTAATCAAACTAAGCTAAATCAATCCTTTTGTATTATACATGTGTTTTATTTTAAGTTCAGTTAAGATTGAACTATGAAATGAACTAAGATACTAAAACTTGATAATAAGAGATGTTTGGAACTCTTCTAAGAATATATTGGAGAGGCATTCAACGGATTTATTTAACAACATATTGATGTGACTGAGAATGACAAAAGCAAACTCATTTTAAAATCAGCTTGAATTAAGGTAGTAACAACTTTGCCATTGTTGCCAGTAGATTGAACCTCTAAAAAGCTCTAGGGGAGAGTGACATGTTCACTGTGAAGTTTGTTGACATTTGTTTTTTTTTAAATTTATTTCTTAGATTGGTTGTGACCTTCATGGATTTCAGTTGTGCAATTTGTTTTTGGTAAATGTTTTTTCTCTCCAAAAGGTAAAAATTTTTGGGTTGTTGTTTACAATTAGCACCCCAGGTGCTATTTTTGAACTACTACCAAATCGATGTATCTGCGTGTGCCTCGATCGAACAGTTGAGAATTTGATAAAAATGAAAAATATTGGTTGGGGTTTTATCATTTATTTTGATATTACAGTGGGAAAAATCGATGAAAGCATGTGCTAGATTTGTAAATAATAATGTTTTGGGTGATATGTATGTAATTGCCCCCAATTTTTAATACAAAAATGGTGATATAATATGGTCATTTTTTCAGCTACATTAAATACGAGCATCAAATCTTTTAAAATTACTTCATTAATGCGATTGTTGAATTTTTTTATCCATCAACTATATTAGACGCCATTGAGATCTATATGATATTTTTTGGTCTTCGATCAAAAGCATCATCAATGGCATTTCCAACAAATCACTATTGATTGCTAAGCTTAAAACTAGTCCTGACTATTCAATCAATTTAGCTCATAGACAATATTATACATTTTGTATGGTAGAAGATTCTCTATGACAGAAAAATTAAGTCTTTGTACATTAGAAATACCCGAAGTTATGAGTGATAAGGGAACGGTTTTTTGATGTGGAGAACTTAAAAGGGAAAAAATCACAATGTCTAACCCAGTTAAAATTGTCCACTATGTATTTGAAGTTACAAAATTCTATTCTTTTTAGTTAGTGAAGATTGTGTTACAGAATTATGGTTATGTGACTGTTCTTTTGGTTCTATACTGGTATTGAAATACATCAATCAGACAGTGATTTAATAAGGGAAAAAATCACATTTCTAACCCAGTTAAAATTAACCACTATGTATTTAAAGTTGTGAAGTTCTTCTATTCTGTTTAGTTAGAGAAGATTGTGTTACAGAATTATGGTTACTTGATTGTTCTTTTGAGTCTACACTGTAAGTAAATTACATCAATCAGGCAATAACAGATTGATAATAACTAGGGGTTACAATACTCATTTGTGGGTCGGCAATGATAGTTGGCGGTCATTAATTTCATGTTTTTCTCTATGATGTGGACTTAGTTGTTAAAGTCCTCCCTCATATTTAAAATATGGTGTTATTTATGGAGTTTTAGGAGCGGCCTTTTTTGTGAAGTTAGCAAAAATGTTAAAATATTTTATTAGATGATCTGAGTCAATTCCATTAATCATTTATGATTCTTTCAATATTTAAGTTTCATAATGACCTCAGAATTGAATGTTCTTTAAGCTCAGGAAATTTCTCATATTTAAGTTTTATAATATCTTATATATAGCTCTAAAATTGTGTCTTTTAGTTGCCAAATGCCAGTGGGCAATGTGGTTAGCTGTAGCCCATTTAACGTTTTGTCGTTATTAGGCGATTTAAGTACCACTTAATATAATCTAAGCCACTCCTACCCATTGGGTGGATAGAATGCGAGGTTTAATTTAATGAGTATTAAAATTATCCTAATATTATTTAAATGATATAATAACTATATTTTTGTTAATTTAATATATAATAATTTAATTTATAAATATTCACTCTTAAATTTCAAAAAAACTTTTTGGTGAACAAATCATTTGTTAAGGGAGTTGAACACAAATAAGTTTTTTAAATTTGAATTATAAACGAGCTGAACAAGAACATTCTTTTAATTGATCATATTCAATTTATTTTAGTTTGAAATAAAGAAATTATTTATATTATTTATATAATAATATATTATATATTTTTATTTTTATATTTATATTAGTATAGCTCTTGTGAATGTTTTTAAATGTTTGAGAATTGTGTAGATTTGAATCCAACATTATATATTTATTTTTTAAATTAATTTAAAGAGTCAAATTTGAGCTGAACACGAGCCAAACACGAACACACTGTTCACGTTAATTTCAAATAAAATTAATTTCAAATGAGTTGAACACGAGTCAAGCCTGAGCTCATTCAAGCTCAGCTCATTTAGAGTCCTCACAAGTTTTGAATATTTATGTATTAAAATTCTGAGATATTATATCTTAACTGTTTTTTATTTAAATCATTAATTTCGAATCATCTGATGAAAATACAAATTAAAACTAAAAATTTGATCAATTTCAAATTCGAACTATGCTATTTTGCAAGCTCCTTGTAAAAGCAATTTTGGAATCGAACTAAATACATCCAAGGACCGATTTATTGTTCAACCAACTGAAATCATGAGTTTGTTAGTTGTATTTGACTCTTGTTAGTTCAAGGAAATCAAAGCTCTTTCAAAAGTTGCCGGTTCCAGCCGATCAAAATTTAATTAAAAAAAGTGTTTAAATGACGGAAAAAATTTGGGTATATAAGAGGCACGCAGCGCTGCGTGCGATAGCGAATCACCGGAAGACACGTCGGTTTCGTCGGCCCCACCGCAATACAAATATAGCTTTTACAGTGCGTGACCTGTCGACCCGACCCGTTATTATAACCTCCATGTAATCCCAATGTAACCTCCGCTGTCCCTCCCAGTACCGTGCCCATGTACCGTGCTTGTAAGCCCCATATAACCCCGATGTAATCTCCGCTGTCACCCCCATGTACAACGCTTGTAAGTCCTGTATAACTCCGGTGTAACATCCGCTGTCACCAAAGGATATAACCCCGGTGTACGTTCCGCGGAAACGTCATTGTAATCCGCGTGTACTATCGTTGTACATCTGGTATAACCTCCGAATGCGAGTGTACACTGCATGTAATCTCGGTGTAACTTCCGCGGTAACGTCCATGTAACCTCGCGGTAACGCATCAGGGTGTACATTTGATGTACAATACGTGTAACAGGCACATAATAGATACAAAAAATTTAAATAATTTATATTTATTTTTGAAGTTAATGTCATGCGTTATAGTTTAATTAAAATAAGACAAATACGGCGTCATTTCGACAGCATAATACATACAAATTTGCTCATCCGAAATTAATTAAAAAAAATTATAAATCTAACAACTAAACTTCGATTTTTAGATATATACCACATTTCCTATGCGTATTTCACTTTTTAGAAATTAAAAAAAAATGGTATTTTTTATGTGATGTGAGATTTTGCAGCCGTAGGTATAAATGTCAAAAAAAGGTGTTAAATATCAAAATAAATAGAAATTGAATGGTATTTAAGTAAATGTCCCTAAAGAAACATCTAGGAGATCCTATAATATTCTTTTCTTCCTCTATTTCCGTTCAGCCTTCCGAACTAATATTTCACTCATTGCACGTGTACATTGACAATGATAGTCATATTTGCTGCAGCTGATGCTGCCATAAAGAACGCATCGAAAAATAAACCTTTATTGTCCATAAAAACAATAGGAAACTTCCAGATAGGTGAGAAACTACATCCACTAAAAAAGCTCACCATGCTGATCCTCTTTTACAAGCCAACCACACCTGATGAACCTCAAAAAATCCTTTTGCATTCAATGTCACCTTCCTCTGAAAACAAAATGACAAAATCACAACCAAAAACTTCAAAAAAATCTACAAAAATTACACAAATTTAGTCTTCTGTCTCATAAAACAATGAAATAAATAATGGTTCTTCATTTAACAAACCAAAACACTCCTCATGAACAAGTTACAATAAGAGATACAACCACAGAAGTAACAATAAAAACATGCTGAAAAATTATGAAAGCAAAGCTATTTACAGCCGCGAACTCCAGCTTTTCACGATTTAGCAACGGATATCTTCTTGTTCTTCGGACGACAGAAAATCATAGCGAAAATCCACGACCAGAAGCTCTTCTTCTGCGCAGGCCTAGGGATTACTTCCCTTGCTGCAACTAAATCAGCCATGTACTGAACAACCGCCTGTCAAACAAGAGACATGTGAGAGAGAAAGTAGGAAGAAAAAAATTATGCAAAATATGAAAGTATATGAAAGGTTTTTTTCACAAACTTGCGCTCCCAATTTAACAATTTCTCTTGGCGGCACTTCTAAGGGAGTCTCATCTGCGAGGAAAACTCTCAGCTTTGACAGATATCTGAATGAATCAGGCAACACCCTTATTTGATTACTGCTTATATCCAACTCCTCCAGATTCTCGAGATTTCCAATCGATCTAGGTAGAGCTCTGAGATCTGCAAAATTTCTCCCGATGTCGAGCTTCACGAGATTGATAGCAAAGCAAAGGCTTTCGGGGACCGATTCCAGCTCATTAAAACTAGCATCGAGCTCCCTCAGCTTGTAAAGTGAAGTCATTGTGGTAGGCAGACTTTTGATTCTGTTGTAGTGTAAAGTCAAAATTTCTAGGCTTTCGAGCTTCCCAATGGCTTCAGGCAGTGCTTTGAGGTGATTGAAATCTAATCTGAGCTCAACCAAACATAAGCAAGAACCAATAGTGAAGGGGAGCTCTTCAAGTTCATTTGTTTCGAGGATTAATCTCCTCAGATTTGTTAGATTCCCCAATGTTTCGGGTAGGATGGATAACTGGTTGCAACTCAGGTCCAGGTTCACTAAGTTCGTGAGGTTTCCGATTGAAGGAGGCAGAGAAGTTAACTTGTTTCCATGAAGATCGAGATTGACAAGACTTGAAAGTTCTCCAATCGAGTCCGGAAGATTAGTCAGCTGGTTGGAATGGATATCGAACTTTGTTAAGAATCGTAGGCTGCCAATGGTGGGTGGGATAGCCATGATTCGATTCTCCGACAAATTTAATTCGGTGACGTCTTGTAACTTCCCAAGTGATGTTGGTAACCACTCAATTTGATCCATGAGTTTACCCTGAAGATCAAGAACTCCGGTGCCCTTTTTTGCGTAAGTCTCGATCAAGCTTGCAACCATGATGAGGCTCAACTTCTCCGAGTTTTTGCCTGATTTGGTTTAGAAAAAAATACAAACATCTAGTAAGACTACAAATCTTAATCAAATAAGAAAAATTGCAAACAAACATAATTCAGTAAGAGTACATAGATTTATGCCTTAAACCATAGGAGAATTAACTTTTCCCATTATGAGACTTAACTTCTCCCTGTCTTTGCTTGTTCTGATACATAAAAAATATGCATCAAGTGAGACTATAAATCTTGATCAACTCAGAAATATTGCAATCTCAAATGAAGCATTAGAAGTATATAGAATTATGCCTTTAACCATAAGAGAATTAACATATTCCATTATACTATATTACTGCTAAAATTTCTGTTTATTTGCCTATTCTGATTTATAACTGGATAAAGTAAAACTAGAAATCTCGATCAACTAAAAAAATTGCCATCAAAATAATGCAGCAAAAGTAACATAGACTTATCATTTTCACGTCAACAAACAACTTTTTCATAGAAAAAAGGATGAGATTACAGGCCTAGACTAATAATATAAATTTAAGAAAATACATGATAGACAGCAGATTAGAAAAGTAAATAAAAATTGGAATAGATCCAAAGTTATGAAGAGCATGCTCCCAAATCAAAATGCCCCAAAGTCCCATAAAAGAAATCCTGAACCAACCTAAGGCATAGGCCCAACAGTTCTACCATGAAATCCATCCAGGAAAAACATTTTCTAGGGATTTATTTAAATACATGCAGATAGAAAGGATCTTTTAGAAACTTAAAATTTCGCTTTTGGTCTTTTTATGTGTCAAGCAAATCAGTATATTTGAGGATTTTTTTAAGGGTAGTGAAATTTCAATATAAATATTAATTTCTAACTGTGCCCATGTAACAAATACTAGGATCTCATAAACTTCACTACCTTTAAAAAGATACTTTTTAATTTCAAGTCATACATAAGACCTTAACAATATGCAATGATTAATTTTCAAACAATTGGATGTCTTTTCTCATTTTTCAAACTGCAAACCTGAGGAAATAGCTCAAAATATTATCAATTGAGATATTTTTTTCATTTACATAGGGCCTCTCGGTAAAAGCTTACCAAAAAGTTCACCCATCCAAGGAGTGCTCAAGCATTAGCATGCTTGGCTTCATAGTTCCTAACAAACCATCAACTAATACACAAATAAATCATCTCAATGTTTAAAAATAAGCACTCTGTGCTTAAAAGATCTAAAAATCTCCTCAGATATAAGAAAAATACAACATCATCAATAATTTTACATAGTCCAAAGGATCACATAATTCTAGCAGTGATCCCTATAGGTTCATGAGTCGGCTTAGTCATATAGCACTTCATCACAAATAAGTTCAGGAGATGATCTCATGGCATAGCGCTTTGTTCGACATGAAATTTAATTTCCAGCTTTCAGTTTGTCACAATTCAAACTCTTTCAATCATCTATCAACTTGATGTTTAAAGCTTCCACTTACAATGCCTACAATAAACTAAAAGTGATATCTAAATACATCCCTTTGAATCAACTGTAAATTCCTTTGAATCTCTCAAAAATAGCTTATAACCCAAACCTTCTCTATATCTGAATTACAAAAGGAAATTTTTAATTTCCTTAGGGCTTCTGTAACAAGAAATGCTATTCCTAAATTGATTAATGTAGGAAATCATTTTAAAATTAAACAAAGATCCAGTAAAGCAATAGGAGAAGAGTCCTAATCCATACTTTCTGAAATGGTGAGTCAATCTAAATCTACAGAAACTAATCTACCCAAATTATAGGAGGAGTTGGGTGGCTTTGCCAATTCCCCGCACCACAAAAAGAGAGAAGGCACATACGTTGGATCCTGTTGCAATTAATAGAAAAAGGAAAGGCTAGATATAGTTAATTAATCCCAACTAAATAGAGGAACCAAATAACTGAAACGAGTAAAATAGCGTGGGGAAAAGTCCCAAAAACCCCAGCAACCAATTCGTCTTCTTGGACTAGTCATCCCAACACACTCAAGTATAAACGAGAAGTAGAAGCCTAGAGAAATCTGACCTGAAGGAATCTCAGATTTCAAGGAGGAACCACGTCCCAATTCTTTAGGCAAATCTGAGCCCCCTTTTCCATCATTTTCCATCGTCCCCAAGCTCGGACCAATCATCGGCATCGTAACGCCCAAACCAACTATCGGCTTAGGATTATCCTCCTTCTCACCTCCATCTTCGTCGGAAACCAGCTTGGATGCTCTCTGAATGAGCTCGTCGAGTACTCTAAAGCGTCGATCGAGATCAAGCACGCGCAGAGCCTCGCGTCGCTGCTCGAGGGCCAGAAGCTGGACCGTGTTGCGCTTGACCTCCTGCAGAACAAAGAAGAGCTCATCGGGGACGCCGGCGGGCTTTCCTTTCCGACTCAACTCCTCGATTTTGGCCTCCTCCTCGCAGTTTGAGCTCGTTAAAACTGCCGTCGCTGCAGCAACTTCCTCGATGGTTGGCCGCGGTGGCAAGGACCTATAAGTTCTCATAATTTCGTCCACCGCCTCGGCGACAGCCGGCGGTCGTGGGGAGATCGCCATGGCGGTCACAAGGGAGAACTATCAGGCTGAAACGGGCGTGGAGAGAAATACATGGGGTTTTCTCGAAAATCTGGATCTTTTTGAGACCAAATTTACACTCAATTGCTCTTCGGGTGTTATTACATTACATACCACTAACAAGTTCTTAATTGCCAGAATGGTATTTCACCGGGGACTCACAGCAAAATAAAATTTGAAAAAAATATTACATCAGATTTTTAATGCAAAATTGTATCAGAACTATAATTACAATACGACATATATACGATCTAGCTCCACTGAATAAAAAAAATTAAATAATTTAATACATGACAGGCCTAAACCGTACACGTAACGCATTGTAATTGTAGTCTTGATATAATTCTACATCAGAACTCTTAATATAATATTTTTTTTCTAAAATTTGACTGAATTTTATTTTTTATGGTTAAAATAATTAAAATTTTATTGCCAATTAAAATATCTCTATTTTTTAAATATTGACAATTATTTATTTATTTTTCAACTCAGTAAAGCTTGCCTAATATTTCATGATGACTATATATTTTCATTTAGAAGGGTTAGTGAAAGTATGTGTTTGATTTATTTAGGATTTGGCTATTGTGTTTTCATTCTTAATCTTAAATTAATTAACACTAGTAGATATACCATAAACTGAAAGTGATTGTAGTTATAAGATCGCAAGATAGAAATTTAATAGAATGAAATTTTGAACAGTGATTGAATAAATCATAAATGATTGAACATAGAAATATTAGGGCGAGGATAAATAAAAAATGATTTGATTATTATTTGAATCATACCAAAAAATGATCAAATAGTGATAAAAAGCATATCATTTGAATTATTGAATCATGATTCAAAGATTACTTAATTATTCTTTGAAGATGGTTCAATTATACATCAAAGATTATTTTTTAAGATGATTTGAGGTCTTTTCATTGTTATTTAGTGATTATTTGATTATTATTCGAAAATGCTTCAATGATATTTTATCCTTATTAGATTATGGTCCAATTGTCATTCAAAGGTTGTTTGATTATTAGTCGAAAAAAGATTTAATTTTATTTAAGCGATTATCTATTTATTATTCAAATATGATTTGAATAAGATTTCATATTTGTTTGGTCCTTATTTGATTAACATTCAATCATCATTTTAAGATTATGTGATCATTCATGATTTTGAGGATAATTTAATGTTTATTCAAACATAGTCTGAAGATACTTCATACATTATTTGATCGTATTTCAAATATAGTTCAAGCATGATATGATCATATTTTCTTACTCATTATCATTTTAGAATTAACTAACTTGAATTATCATACTATATATGCAAATGACTAATCTAATCAGTGCTTGCATTATTTGTATGGCTAGTAGCATGATAGAAAAAGTGATAAGACAATTTGCATTAGTAAATTACTTATAAAAGCTAAAAGATCTTTATTTGGCTGGTTTTTAAGAGCATTGAAAAAAATAATTTTTTCTTATGCCTTAGCCCTTTAATCATTGCTAAAGATAGCTAATGCTGCTAAGAATGAGGGGTTATTCCAATGCGCCCAATAATGAATGACGGGAAGAATATAAACTTTGAATTAACTAAGTTTTCTTTGAGCTATAAGAGATGAATAGAAGCAGTAGATTGCTTAATAAAAACATGAAAGGAGACAAGATTTAAAAAAAATATAGACTTGAGGAGCTTTCTTGAATATTTTGAGCGAGAAAATAAATGAAAGCACGAGTTATGATACTTTATAAATGGAGTCCTTTATTTATAAAATATGCTGATTTCTTATGTTTTCTAATAAAGGAGAACATGGTGCTAACAAAATTGTTATTTTGACCCTCAATTAATGAACTAAGAAGAAGAACATGGTGCTAACAAAATTGTTATTTTGATCCCCAATTAATGAACTAAGGTAAAAGGACACTTTTGTAATGTGGTACCGCTCACCTACCGCATCTTACTTATCGCTCACCTACCGCTCACCTACCACTCTCTTCCTTCTATAAATAGAGAGGGTGTGAGGCTTAGGAGAGCAAGGGGGAAGAGATCTTAAGCTATCACAAAATAGAAGAGAATAGCTATAGAGTTAGAGAGAAGGAGAGCATCTTGAGGCCTTGTATCAAGGTGTCGCTTGAGAGGGAGGCCATAGAAGGAAGATGAGGGCTCATCTCTATGTATTCTCCATTTCTTTTACTTTAGTGAAATATTTGATTGATTCCCTCCCGTGGACGGAGATCCAGTTGGATTGAACCACGTAAACGATCTGTGTTTGCTTGTGTTCTTTGTGTTTCATTTTTTATGTCAGGAAGTACATATCTTACAACAATTGGCGTCGTCTGTGGGAAAATCCATATTTCTTGGCTAGAGGTGTCCGCGTAAAGGTGTTCAAGGCCAGCGACGAAGAAAAGGAGTTTGACATTCACAAACAGAGGAGCTGGATCGCATCACAGGCAGCCGAATCGCTACAGATTCAGTGAGCAGTGGAAGCTTTGATCGACTGGATTCGCACCACAGGTTGTGCGGTTCGGCGAGACGAGTTCTGCGAGACGGAGAAAAAACAGTCCGCGAGTTAGGGCTGAAAATTTGCGACAGGCTTGCCAGCAAAGGATTTCGGAGCAGGAGTTTGGTATTGCGAGCAGCTCGAGCAGAGGGAAGAGGCGGAGATCGCGCAAAGAAGGGTTCGGGGAGTTCCCTGTTCGGGAGTTCGCGAAGCAGGAGGACCTGAGCAGTTTGACGAGGCGCGGCGGCTCTGGAGAGGCAGTTATTCTCGTGTGAGAGGTAGAGGAGGAATTCCTGATTTGTTCCGCTTGACGCTGAGTAATGTCTGCGGGAAGGAGGCGCGAGCACAGAACATGAAGTTTTCTCCGGTGAACAGGTGTGATCTCTGTCAGAATGGATCGGAGCTCTCCGTTCGGTTTACGAAGGCAGTGGAGTTCACGGGGAGAAGGTAAGAAATTTGGTGAGAATTTCTTGGATAGCAAGGCGTTAAAAAGCAAGTTTAGGCTGAAAACTTTTGGTTGCTATACCATAGTACAACATTTTGGTGATTTCAGTCTAATTCTTGGAAGGGCAGCAGGTAGAATTCATTGGAAGGAATCCAGCCACGACAATGAGTTCCGTCAAATTCGAAATTGAGAAATTCAATGGGAAGAATGACTTTGGCCTATGGAGAGTAAAGATGAGAGCTCTATTGGTTCAGTAGGGTGTTGCAGAAGCCTTGCAAGGGTCAGTGGCATTGTCGGTCGCATGACCGAGAAGGAGAAGATCGGCATATTGGACAAGGCCCACAGTTTGATAATCCTGAGCTTGGGCGACAAAGTTCTGAGGGAGGTGTCGAGGGAGACAACGACTCAAGCACTTTGGGCCAAACTCGAGGTACTCTACCTGACAAAGTCTCTGGCTAATAGGCTCTTTCTGAAGCAGCGCCTATACTCCTTCAAAAT